TTTCCATAATTTGGCTATTGTTGAAAAATGCTGCTATAAACATTAGGGTACAAATGCCCCTATCCATCAGCACTGCTGTATCCCTTGGGTAAATTCTTAGCAGTGCAAACCCTCCATTTATTTTTTAAATCAACTCTTGCTCTCTCTGTAATACTAGCCTGGTATATCAAAAGAGAAATATTTCCCTTCAAGTGAGGATTATCTTTAAGAATCACAGGTAACACATGGTAAGGATTTTCGTTGTTGCGGGGATGATTTTATAAGTAATTCTAGTATATCCAAGTTACTCTACTACAGTGCTTAGCACCTGTGTCCTGGAATATTATACCCCTTCCTTCAGTATATAAGATACCCCTTCCCTAAGTATGTAAGATGTGCATAGCCTGCAAAGCATTTGCATAAGGCTGATTCTCAGGCAGTACTTACCAGGGGAGGAACTTTTTAAGCCTACCAAGAGAATATTTTGTAGGGGTTCTTAGTGGTATTATGCTTCCGGAAAAAAAGATGACCTAATGGGGATATATTTCCTGAGCCAACATGGTTATAATTAGTTATGGTAGTTTTTTAAAAGAACTACGTTTTTAGAATTCACATTTGTGATGTGGTTTCTCTTTCCCTGGCAGGGCACATTTTGAACAATGTTTACAGAATCCTTTATGATTCTGGACATTCTGGACATTCTGGACATGGAAAGCATTGTTGAATTATACTCTTGCCATAGGCTCTGTCCATTACATACCCACACTCACTATGTTCATAATTCATTGGAATTGGTTCTTCATATAATCTTCCATAGCTGTTTTCTAATTTGGACATTAGGTAAACTGCATTGTACTCCCTGTACAATGACTGCCAGAAGTGAACACTCACAGGTACAGTTTTATAAAGAAACTCTGATAATAAATTTTGGGATATTAGAAGGCCCTGACTAACTTTTGAAGGAGTAAAGCAGACGGAGGTGAAAAACCAATTTCACTAACAAAGCTTGGTTGGAAGTACATGGCTTAGATATGTGGCAAAAGTGGACTCCCCATTCCCAAACTCTGGAACTAGATTTACCTAGTTACAGTCCAGCCTGAAAACCCATGGAATCAAACACAACCAGCAAGGCTCCTACTCACCACCAACGGGCAGGACCCTAGAGCGAAAGGGATGTCAGGGCCAGGCATACATGCCCAGTTCCCTCCCAAACTCAGTTAACTCACATAAGGAGGAATAAGGCCTAGAGCTGGAGGGTTTAGGGAAAAATTCCTTCTTCTGAAAACCAGAGGCATGGGAAAGAAACCTTCCCCCACTAACAATGTCTTTTCTCAATTTTCCATAAGTTTATTTTCCCACCACAAAATAGCTTTGTCCCAAATTAGATGATCCAGAAACAAAGGACTCAGTCATGATAGGTTGTATAGCAAATTGTTAATAATGACATGCTCACAGTACAACTTCTCATTTTTTCCCCCCACTTTTGACTCACCTGTTAGAAAAGCCTTGTGCTAAACAAAGATGCTTTGCGGGGGGTTTCTTCCCTGCGCTATAATTAAAGTCTCCCAAATTGTCAAAATTGTGCTAGCATGCCCTTAGCCTTGACAGTAGACTTGCCAACTGCTGACTTGGGGCTTTTATAACTGTCAGCCTTGACTTGCTCCCAAGGTAGCGCTCACTTCTGGGTTTGCTTGGTAATACTCTGATACTTAAGGACATGTTAGGAAGATCCAGCTCTCTACTGAGGGATGCATGTTTTGGTAATGACAATGATCGTGTACATAGTCAAGCAAATCCTGAAGCCCCAGGAGGGCACATATTATGGTGAAATATGTGTGAAGTGCAGGTAGTCTGAGATGTACAGAATTCTTTGCATTCTTCCAGAAGCCATTATCACATCATCTATGAACTGACATAGAATATATTAGCCATCTCTGAAGTTGTATGCAGGGGAGCGTGGGTGGCTCAGTCAGTTGTGTCCAACTCTCGATTTCAGCTCAGATCATGATCTAACACTTCGTGGGTTTAAGCCCCTCATTGGGCTCTGCACTGACAGTGCAAAGCTTGCTTGGGATTCTCTCTCCCTATCTCTCTGCCCCTCCCCAACTCATGCTCGCTTGTGCACTCTCTCTCTCTCCCTCTCTCTCAAATAAAAACTTTTTTAAAACTTAAAAAAAACAAAGTTGGATGCAATATCTCAGGGGTGACTCAGGACAGGCTTTATTTTATTTTTGTGTATATGTTAGTATAGTAGAACATGTATACTATTTATAAATATTCAGATATTGAACATTCATGCCCAACATTTTTCTTCTAGGATGCACAATCAAGATTAGAAAACATTGGGATATATCTTCAAAACATGAAAACATCTTGCTAGTTGGTTTCCCAGTCTTCCTCACCAAATTTGTATCGGGAAGGTTTGACCATTATGCTCATTTAGCCCACAATTCATTCAGAGCATGCATGCCAACCTGCCTCTGGTTGTATTCCTGAAAATTTGTTCTCTGAAAGGACTTTTTTTCTGATTATTTATCTATTTCTAATACTCAGAAAAATGCTTGGCACATACTAAGTACTCAATAGTTGTTGAATGAATCTCATAGTGGTTTAACTCAATATCCTCACAATATAGCCCTTCATGGTTTAGAAATGGAAGCCTCATTTTTTACAGCATGGATTGCCGATGAACATACTTACCTAGAGTTATATAAAGTTTCTTTAAAATGCTAGGCCTCAGAGGCAAACCATAAGAGACTCTTAAATATAGAGAACAGACTGGAGGGTGCTGGGGGGGATGGGTTAAATGGGTGATAGGCATTGAGGAGGGTACTTTTGGGAATGAGCACTGGGTGTTATATGTGAATGATGAATCATTGGTTCTACTCCTGGAGCCAAGACTACACTGTATGTTAACTTGAATTAAAAAAAAAAATGCTAGACCTCATAAATCTTGTTAGTTCCATACACTTTGACAAGAGCCATATTGAGTTCTATTTATTCAGGATGGGTAACCAGGTTGATTTGCCTGAGACTGAAGAATTTCCTGGATCCAGACTTTTGGTGGTAAAGTAGGGACACTCATGGGAAGACCAGGATGAGTCAATCACTCTGGTTCCACTGGACACAAAGTCCCTATAAGGACTGTTAACTTTCCTCATACAATGGACAATACACAGGCAGGAGCATATGACATTAGTTTTCTAAGCATCCTAGAAATCAGGACAGTACAAAATAGCCCCAGGGTGGGGGTACACTTATGCTTTCCTCAGTCCAAAATACTATGGTTTAAAATCAACACTGTCAATCTTCACTACCCACCACAGCAGTGCTTGGTCTTGTTCACAAAAGGATAAGACTTGTGAATTCATGACTATAGTGTATCCTCTTCCCAGACTGTGAAACGAGGCATAGGTTAAGGACATGTTTATGACCACCCAACAAAAGAGCATCCCAAGGGTTCCAGAGGCGATAGGATAATGGCATACCCAAAAATGAACTGAAGCAGGAGATGCCCCCCTCTTTTTTTTTTTGTAATGGGTCATGTCCAAATGAACAATACACTAGAAACCTGAGTCTGTCCACATTGTGAGAACTAACCAAAGGTCTGTTGTAATGATGCTCCAAGATGATTTGTTTCACAGGGTTGTGGGTTCCTATAGCCATAAGAGGGTGGGGGAGAACAACCATTGACTCAAGCACAACCTGGTTCCTCTGATCACAGCAAAGCCATCCAGGAAGTGGTACCTAACAAGATGCCTGGCAGGCATGGCATGTTAGATAACCCCTCAACTGTGGGCCAAGAAAGCATAATCTTTGATGGAAAAGAAGTGGCAATGAGAGGAATGATAGAAGAACTATGTTTCTGGTTTCCAAGTTTACATACAGCCATAAGGATGGTGCAGCATAACACAATAAAAGGGATCAGTATTCATTTGCTCAGGGCCATCTTGTTGAGACCTGACTCAGTATCCATGTAATATTGACTCAGAGCCGTGTAAAAGATGTGAGTGATACCCCCTTATCAGAAAGGGCCTTGGCTTCTGACACCTTCAGGGAAGATTAAAGGTTTATATGCCCAACAGCTTCTCACCCTAGATCACATGTTAGACACCCCTAACCCCCTACTCTGGACACAGGAGGTGTTTGGTGCTCACTACCTGACCAGAAAAATGTTTTTATTTGTCCTCTGTTCACCCCCATTCTTCTTAACAGTACCTACTAAGTTTGAGAACACATCTGCAACAACAGTTGAGTTACTCTAACATTGAAATATGTACTAGATAAGTTCCTACATGTAGCTCAACTGCCATCCCCAACAGAAGAACAATGATTTGTTTGACTCTCTCCAATCCATTGCAGCTGAACGTAATATTCAGGACTTATTTACCTGTGGGTTTTATTTTATCTCTACCCCTCTTGGACATCTGGGAAGTTAAACAGAAATAAAACAAATATTCAGTAGCCCCAGTATGATCTATATAAGCCTTTTCCAGTGCTTAATGCTTTCCAGAAATATATCTCCCTCCAGATATCACTGAGTTTCCCCTAAGCATTTCAGTACTTTTCATCTCAGAAGCCCTCTGTTTCCTCCCCTGGGTTTTGGTTGAGCTGGACAATCCAGCAAACCAGGCACTATGATGGTGATGTGGCTGTTTTGACACAACAGCTACAGTTGTAAGAGGCACAACTCAAGTGGGCATGAGGCTCTGTCTTAAAATCTTCCTTGTTACATTCAGACAAACTGCTGACAAGTCTGGTCACATACACTGGCCTTAATGCTCTTTTCTACATCACTAAGCCCCCTTTAAATTCCCGCTGTGATGGTGACGTGTATCTACACTAGATCTACACCTTGTCTCTTTCTGCCTTCTGTGTAATCACGCCCAAATCACAATCATAAAGCATTTAAAAATTTTTAAATACCTCTGAAAAATGCATATATATATACATACTCTTGTCTTTTTGTTTCTTGCCCTGGAAAACACTTCTTGCAAATAATCTTACATACTTTTACTTACTTTTATTTTGTTTCACTGGTGGCTCTGATATTGTTTGTTCATCGGTGCCTTTTTGTTGGCACATCCCAGAACCCTGTAGCATCATAAAAAAGACTCAGGTAGGTATCCTAGTAATGGGTACCAGCACTTCTGAAAAGAAAAAGAATAAAATTTCCCCAATTCCTATGAGACTACTTCCATACACACCTGAGTTTTGTTGTTGTTGTTGTTAATGTAATATCATTGGTGGAGCAGAAGTTTACCCTAAATTAACTTTGCATCTTTTTCCATCATGCACCATAGGCAGAGGAATAGGCTATAGAGTCTTAACTGAAATAACTGGTTCCATATTACTGGATGCCAGATTGAGTAAGGGATTCATTAGAACTGACAGTAAAAACTGTTCAGTTAATGCTTCAACACAGTCTCTTATATTGAATGCTGTGGAGAAAGAGCCATAAGAAAAAATAAATAAACCAAACTCTCTACCAAACAATTTATCTGAATTACAACTTAGATCCTTATAATGTTTTTGTGAATCCTAGACAATGTCTTCTTTGTGAGTCAAGAATAAGTAAAACTTAAAGCTCCCCCATCTCACCATCACATACCAGGGAAATATTTTTCACCCAATTTTTAAACTGTATGTATCCATGTGAGGAACAGTCTGGGTAAGGCTCAATCAACTGTGAAGTTTATCAGCCTCAGCACTATTTTTTTAATTTTTTTTAATGTTTATTTTTGAGAGAAAGAGAGAGAGAGAGAGAGAGAGTGTGTGTGTGTGTGTGTGTGTGTGTGTGTGTGTGAGCAGGGAGGGGCAGAGAGAGAGGGAGAGACACAGAACTCAAAGTGGGCTCCAGGCTCTGTGCTATCAGCACAGAGCCCAACGTGGGGCTTAAACTCACGAACTGTGACATAATGACCTGAGCTGAAGTCGGATGCTTAACTGACGGAGCCACCCAGGCACCCCTCAGTCTCAGCACTATTGACACTTTGGACAGGCTAATTCTTTGCTGTAGGGGGCTGTTCTGTGCATTTTAAAATGTTTAGCAGCATTCCTGACCTCTCTACCTACTAGATGCCACTCGTGACACTCAAAAGTGTCTCCAGACTTTGCCAACTGTCCCCTGGGGGCAAAATCATGTCTAGTTGAGAACCAAAGGTCTAGAGAAAGGACTGTGATTGACCTAGCTTGGATGTAATGCTTCGTCCTGGGCCAGTCAGTTGTGACCAGGGGAAATAGGGATCAGTAAATTAGAACATAACTCTAGCTGGATCTATGTGGCTGCCCCCTTAATGTCTCTATGCGGCTAGAAAATGCATCCACTCAACATCTACCACACTGCAGAGATTCCCTCTAGTGTTTGGCTTCTGTAGCTTTGTTCTTTGTAGATGGTGTTAAGCTCTTAAATTTGTTATTATACTTATGTTTTACTTTTGTCAATAGGTATTGAGATTTCTTGTCTTGTTTTGGAAGCTCTTCTTCATTTTCAGGCATTTCTATTATCCTTATGTTTTAGTATTCTGCCATCTTCAAAAAAGCCTTGACTTTTGTTTAATCTAGATCAGAGCTCCATATTTCCTATTCAACTCCTTCTCATTAGTATAACCTGAAAAGTACTAGGCAAATATATGGGCCTTATTGTGTCTGTCCTCCAGGAAGAAAAAAAGGTGGGGGGGGGGGGGAAGGAATGGTCATAACTAAATATCCTATACTTACGTGCTTATATACCTTGGAAGTCTGGGACTATATTAGTGGCTAAAAGCAAAGGCTAAGAGGAACAAACTACCCCCCCCCAAACACACACTATCATAATGTTTAATATATATAATGGTCTGTCTGAGTAATATACTTGAAAGTCAAAGAGCCATGAGTCTATTTGAGGTATTCTGTTAAGTCCCCCAACCCACTGATCTGGAGAAAAGATCCAGATCCCAGCCCTTCCCTTGAGAGAAAGGTTGCACTGAGTTTTTGGTAGAACAGCAAAATCCTGTAACACAGGATATGCCTTCTAAAATAAGAATATTTGAAAGAATGAGCTTCCAGGGACATAATGAGAGCACCTCCAACCATGGCTGGAGCAAGGGCAGGGAGATTCAACTCTATTGCAGAATCCTGGCCCACTGGCAAAGGCAGAGTGGAAGAGAACGTGAGGAACAGAGATTCCTAGTGGCAGGGCAAAGAGCTTATAGGAAAGCAATCAGAGCATCCTGCGTGGTAATGACAGGATAATAGCAGTCAGTCCAGAACTATGTGCAGTTAAGAACTTGGGTCTATCACAGCGCCTGGTTGACTCAGTTGGTTGAGTGTCCAACTCCTGATTTCAGCTCAGGTCATGATCCCAGGGTCATGGGATGGAGCCCCACATGGGGCTCCACACCGAGCATGGAACCTGCTTATGATCCTCCTCTCTCTCTCCCTCTCTCTCTTGCCCTCTCTCTCTCCCTCACTCATACTCTCTCTATTCTCTTTTTCTCTCTCTAAAAAAATAGATAAATAAAATAAAGAACTTGGGTCTATCAAATTGCAGGATCTGCATCTACTTGTGCCTAGTAGTAAACACTTCATGGGCATCAATCCCCAACAGAGATAGAGGTGCTAACACTTTCCAGCAAACAGGCAATTATGGAAAAGGGATGATAATTCAGTATTTTTAAGTTGATTTCCCCCCCTTTTTAAATTTAAATTTCAGTTAACATACAGTGCAATATTGGTCTCAGGAGTAGAATTCAGTGATTCATCACTTACATACAACACCCAGTGCTTATCACAACAAGTGCCCTCCTTAGTACCCATCACCCATCTAGCCCATCTCCTACCCACCTCTCATGGTCAACCCATACTTTTTTCTCTATCATTAAGAGTCTTTTGTTAACCTCAGTATCTTGGGTGGACTGCACATTAATGTATTTCCACCACTGATGGAGGATATGGGTGGAAACAGGTGCTCAGGATGTAGTTTTTATGGTTCCAAGAGGAAGCATCAGCCTTATTTCTCTTACTTAAGGCATGCTTTTAGGAGGAGTTTCTTAGAATTGAGGTAAGAGGATAGGGAAGCTAAGTTAATAATTATATACCAAAGGCCCACTATTACATGAAACAATTATTTTTATGACTTTTTAAATGTTTATTTATTTATTTTTGAGACAGAGACAGAGAGCGTGAGTGGGGGAGGGGCAGAGAGTTGGGGAGACAGAGTATCCTAAACAGGCTCCACGATGTCAGCACAGAGCCAGATTCAGGGCTCAAACTCATGAATCCTGAGATCATGACATGAGCCGAAACCACGAGTCAGATGTTTAACCGACTGAGCTACCCAGGCACCCCTATTTTTATGACTTTTAAATACATGTAGTATTATGGAGGACTGAAAGATAAATATATCCCTGCCCTCGAAAAATTAACAGCATTGTGGGGAATGGAACAATTATACAAACAGAATATAACAAGTATCACACAACAATGCAACTTTGGCTAAGAAGAAGAGATCACAAGTTTTTGAGAAAATCAAGAATTGAATCAAGTGTTTTGACCAACTGATTATATGACATAGATTTGAATAGGGATATCTAAGAGATGCTTTCAAGAGCCCACATGAGAAACAAAATTCTAAATGAGGATAATGGCAATGTAACAGAAATGAGACTAGATTTGTGAAATGTTGCATACCTAGCTCCTTCAAGATTTGTTGACCAATTATATATATGAGATGCTTGCAGAGGAGACAAAATGTTTGAGCATTGGGAATTGGGACAATGGAGGTAAGGTTAACAGAAGTGTTAAAAGACAAAACTGAAGCATATTAAAATTTTTAAGTTTATTTAAGCATTTATCCATTCCAATAGGATAGTGCCAAATCAGAAGTGACTAGGAGAACTCCATGACAGGAGCCAAGGTAAAGACTTATATAGAGAGCCTCTAGAAGCAAGATAAGGAAATTATTGATTGGCTCTTGCTTAAAAAGCCTAGTTGGCTGTTTGTGACTGGATGTCCTTAGGTTTCAATTTTGCAACCTCAAAGCATTTACAGGCTTAGAGTTTGGTATGCTTAGGTGGACTGCCCGGGCATTAGAGCCACCTCAGTCTAATGGCCTCTTTGTTTAAGTAATATGACAGAAGTAAGGGAGAAAAAAGGAAATGGAGTGGATGATGACAAGCTTGTTTTCTGAGACCCCGGCTTTAAATGTGGTATATGTAAGAGGTTTGTGATCATACAGGGTATGGCTATCTTGTCTTATTTTTTCTCCAGTGAAGACTCCTGTCTTTTCATGCTGTCTGTTCAATTATATCCCCAGTTTGTAGATAGTCTGTGCAGCGTAAGTATTTATGCTTTGAAAGCCATGCTTAGGATCCATGCCATCACCACCCACCTCCACCCTGTCTCCTCTTTATTTAGCTTTAGCTCCCTATGAGTAACTCAGATGCCTGCAGTTTTATTTTCTTCTCTGTGCTGACAAGATGGAGATACGCCTGCAGGAGCGCTCCACTACTGAAGCTCTGTCAAGAGAGGGACAGCTGCCTGCAGAGACTCGGGCTCTAACTAAAGATTATCTATCTTCTGCATTTTTTTGGCTTCTCAACACAATCTGAAAGCCCCTTATTTGGATGCTGGAAAAACAAATGTACAGGCTCAAGACCCCATTCTGTATAAATCATATGAGGCCCTCTTACTAAATAGAGCCTCTCAGCATAGAATTGCCTCTATCTTCCTACCTTTACTTCACACTCATAAATTTCATCCTCATTTCTGACCGCTTTTATTTACTTGAGTCTATGTTTTAGTGTTGTTTAACATGTTTTAAATATGTACTTTTTCCTGTACTTGTTCAAAAATAATTTGATTCGGAAACTAAGGAAAAAGTATAAAGAAGAAAACATGTGATTTGTCCTATCATCACAGTTAACATTTTTATCTAGTCTTCCTCCTCCTATGCACATTTTAATTTAATTTAATTTCTTTTTAAGTTTATTTATTTATTTTGAGAGAGAGGGAGAGAGTGCATGCACGAGCACGCACAAGTTGCAGAGGGGCATAGAGAGAGGGAGACAGAGAATCCCAAGCAGGCTCCAGCTGTCAGTACAGAGCCCCACACAGGGTTCGATCCCATAAATCATGAGATATGACCTGAGCCAAAATCAAGGGTCAGACA